AATTAACGCTCAGCTGCCATTGCTAACCAAGATTTTTTTTTTTACCTTCACAGCTCTGCCCAAATGTTCCTAAACAGAGTCTATTATAATACAGCTGCACATTTTAATGCATGTCATTTGAAGTTTGTGTAATAGGCAGATGGAAAATATAGATATATTTATATCCTAATTGTAGGATATATAAAAAAAACATACTTTTTTCCTCCCTTCTCAGTTATATAGATGTATGTAACATATTTCAATAGCAAGAAAATTCAAAGTGCTATAGAAGAAAGGACATTGAAGTGGCATAGAATAGATGTAACTAGAATGAAAGTGGATGATTAAAATAGGAGACTTATATTAACATAACGATAAAATGCTTGATTTAAAAACTTAAAAAAGAGATTACTGTGTGAATAGTCAGTATCTTACCTCTAGTGATCAAAATACCCCCTGTTAGATAACTATGATGACTATGAGGTGGTTTATTTCTTACATGCACCCTTTTGGTGTTAAGGAAAAAGCCCCTTTTAATATGTTTTAGTCTGTTTTTATTTATTTGTTCTCAGAACTGGTTAGCTGAACTTTACATTTCCAAATTCTCACTCTGTTCATGTACTGATCGTGTAGCTTTACTCTCTATTCCAACCATTGCAGGGGAAAAGCAGGTGAAAGTGGCTGCAGAGGAGGAGCAGAACCAACCTGAGGCAGAACAACAGGAGGGGATTCCACAGGAGGAGAATATGGAGATAAACACTGGTGATGATGTGGGCCAAGACCCGGAGAAACTGGAGAAGGAGAAACGGCAAGAAGCAAAGGTATCTCTAATGTTAAGTGTTATCACTTTCTGTTTAAATGGTGTTTGTTATATCAGCTAAGATATTTTTCTACCTTTTAGGCTCAAGAAAGAAAGGAGAAGTTGGAAGAGAAGAGAAGGAAGTTGGCGGCTGCAGCTGCCCTGCTGGAAGGCAGGAATGCTGATGGGTTGGTCTTGGATTATTTGCGTCTGCATTCAGAATAGTTTATCTACATCACTCTGCTGCTCTCTGCATCAGCCTCTTCTGTCCACTTTAATCAGTGATGGGTAGTAAAAAAAAAAAGCCATGGAGGGAAAAAATTATGAGTGATTAAATCATTAACTGTCCATAATAGTCATAAAAATAATTAGCCTTAAGCTGGATGTGGAGTGATTACTGTGCAGAGCTCGGCCAAGGTGAACAAATTGATTTCTTTGCAGTTAACTCCCACATAAGATAAAAGACTTTCTAGCTTTTAAGATTGATGGTAGAGCTATAAGAAGGTGACATCTGCAGCACAAGTACAACTATTGATTTTGTTTGCTCATAGACTTCTCTATATCATTGAAGCTTTACAGTAGGCAATAAACAATACACAGAGAACAGTTTTCGAATTAGCCCTAAATCAGCTTTTTCTATAGAATCTAATCCAGCTATAAAAACCCATTCTGTGTGGACGATGCTGCTTGAAGCCCTGATGAGCTCAATTACCAATTTGCCTTTCTGCACTTTTCCAATTAAAGAATTTGCTGTTCACATAGCTTTCTTTTGTTAGACATATTTGCTTTATCATCTGTTTTTTTTTTTTTCACACTTGCAGGTTGGTGATAGCAAGTCAGTTTCACCCTTCTTCTCTTCTTTTGGGCTTGCTTAAGTTCCTCGCCCCATCTCGGCCTTTTGTAGTCTATTCTCAGTACAAAGAGGTAAGAGAATGTTGCCTCTTATTTTATTTGTTCAGAGTAAATGGTTGCCAAACATTTATCCTCAGGGTTATAGAGCTTTGCAAAGATGCTTTTATTCCATAAACTTGAAGCATTGTGATGTAAGGATGGTTCTTTAAGCATTGCAGGGAAGCTGGTAAGATATGATAGTAAGGGGCTGTAGCTAGATGCAGGACAATACAAATGGAAAACCTGATAGAAGCTGCAAAAGAACAGATTTGGGCTGAGGTTGAACATCTAGTAGGATAACAGCCCTGAATATACATATTTATATGTAACACAAAGCAAACATTTGCAAGAAACACCACTGCCACACTCTGCTGTACTGACTGGTGTGTGGTGGGTACTTGATGGAGAGGAAGTGGTGCTAGACACTCAACTGGCTCATCATACTGGCTGACATTAGTTTCCCTTTTCCATCCCTCTGACAGATAATGTGGGAAATGCTACATTTTGTCACAAGTTGTAGAAAACTGATATGCTTGACTATAAAGGAGAGCTGGGTGATTTGACTGAAAAATCTAATCTGTTAACCTTAAGTTTCAAATAAAAAATGATAAATGACATAGGTTATTTTAAAATCTACCTTTTTTTTTTCAACCATCTCCTCTGGGAGGTGACCTTCATTTGAAGAGAAAGTGCTTGTAAAATAACTCTTCTTCACAACAAATATCAAAAACGAAATGTTTGCAGCTAGCGGTGTTGCGCAGTCAGCTTGTATATCAGTTATAGTTGCAAATCTAAGAACAAAAAGTGACAACCTGATTCACCCATTGGTGGGAAAAAACTATGTAGACTGTGTAGCCTTTAGTTTTCCTAATGTTTTCAACTTTGGTTTAGTGTTAGGTTTTTGGATCTCTTCAACGTCTTTGAGGTTGTATTTAAAGCCACTGTCACAATGACAATTTAGCCAGTGTATTCCCGATGTACCAGAATCTTCTAAAACGCTGTCATACGCTGGGCGTATACATAGAGCATTCATAATGAGTCCAGAACTTTTGTCCAACGACAGCCTAACTTATGCATAACGCCCGGCAGCGTAATGCCTATGAAATGATGCACAGGCCAGTGTCCTGAGGGGGGCAGCGATGCACCCGGAGGCGCCCAGCCTTCATAAAAAGATTTCTTTGATTGCCGTATTAACCTAACTGCTGTTTACCACCCGCCAAAAAAGAAATAAATATGTAAATAAAAAGTAAAAGAAAGAAGGTTTGCAGTCGGAGCAGATTCAGTGTCATGTCTGCTAGGAAGTTTGTTGATCGTGGCCGTGGTGCGTGAACACAGGGAGGATCCATCACACTCACCTTTGCGGTCACCCTACAACTGGAACAGAGTCAAATTGATTTGATCATGCTGATGTTGGAGGACAGCTAGTATGTATTCCTGTCTCAGCCGGATCCTCCATCTCTTGTGTAACATCTGTTCACTATGAAGTCTGGAGGATTACAGATGCTTCCTCTTATGAACCCCCCTTTATACCAAAACGCTGCCAATACGCCATTTTACAGTAGCTGTAAGTTAGAAAGACGTTCAGCAGTCGTCTGGAACATGTCAAATACGTTGATATGCATTGGAGATAAGTTCTCGATAAGTTACGCATAAGTTATGCACAAGTTACTCATAGGTTTTGGATAAGCTAGACACAACGACTTATGACGAACTTACACTTAACAATCTCATAACTTAACTGTAACTTATGGCCCACGTATGAGCATATGCGGGCGTATGCTTCAGTGTGCTCATAACTTACACAAAACTGACCCGTAAGTTATCCACTGTACGGCAGCGTTTTAACCAGATTTGCCGTACATCAGGCATACGCTGACAAAATCGTCAAGGTGTGACGGGCTTAATGGGACAGTGAGGATCAGTCGTGTTTCTCTCATTGTTGTTAAAGGTTTTCTGTGTGTCCTGCAGAGTATCTGTGATTCTAGAATGTCTTCTCTATTGAAAGCAGAAAATCCCCTAATAAGAGACCTGCTGCTTGTTTTTGTTTTTTTTAATACCTCTGTTTTAGTCATTTATAGTCTTTGTTGTTTTTTCTTTTTCTGACATCTGCAGACACTTATTGAGTGCTACACAAAACTCAAAGAACAAGGTGGGACTGTCAACCTCATGATCACAGATACCTGGCTCAGGCATTACCAGGTAAATACTTGTATCCTGAATATTAGGCCAAAAATCCACTTTACTGTTCATTTTTATTAGAAAAATACATTTTGTCCATCCCCTAATCAGTCTGTTCCTTTTATCAGTTGCCTATCCATTAATACATTTGTCCATTTATTTATTCATTCATTAACCAATCTATTAATCCTTTTGTCTACCTAACTGTAGATTTGCCAGTCTTTTAGTTAATCTCTCCATTAGTCCTCATGTTAATCTATCCTTTTATCTTCATTCATTGTCATGAGTAGAATAAAAATGTCTTTCCAACTGCCAGTTTGGGGTTCTAAGTAGACAATAGATAGACTTGTTCCGACCTATTTCTATTTCTTCCAGCTGTTCCTTCCTAGTTAATTCCTCCTGACTGGTCTGTATTTTGTCTCCAGGTATTGCCTGATAGGACACATCCTCTGCTCCTGATGAGCGGTGGCGGGGGCTACCTCCTCTCAGGAACAACAGTTGCATTTGACCGCTCCAAACCGGCTGCCTCCCCGCTAGCTGAGGAACCGGCACCAAAGAGACAAAAAGTGAAAGACTCTGAGAGTTAAACATGTGCAGAGAGATCAGATCTGTCAGGCACTTCGGCACCACCTGCAGTGGTTCTTCTTTATACTCTGTTGAACTGAATAAAGCAGTCCAAGTGTCTGGTTTGGATCCATCGGAGCACCTAATCCTGTCTTTGTCCGCTGAGAAGTGAAAGTGTTAGCCCATAATAAGTCATCTCAGCTCGGTATGTTCCTTATTTTAGAGACAGGTGAATTTATTTCTTCAAGTGAAAAGTTTGTGTTAAATCTTTTGGCTGGCCATCTTTTTATTTAAGTAACTTGTCAAACAATGTGGTTAATAATGTGGTTTTATTGGATCTACATCAGGACAGCAGATCTCTCTGGATATGTCTAGGATATAATTAATGGATTGTAATTTACTTTAATTCTAGTAATAAATTCGAGTTTTATTTGGTCCCAGGATAACTCCTTTTATTGAGTGCAAACAGAACGAGCTCTTGAATACATTGCAGTACTTTGTCTCATATTGTCACAAAACATTTATCAACATCTAAGCCGTTCCCATGCGCTTTAATTAGACATAACATCACAAAAACACTGAATAAATTGGTTAAACTGTTTCAAGAATTCTTTGATTATTTTTGTTTCATTTTTAACTCTAAACACATAAAGTAGGCAAACAGACAGAACTTGACATTATTCACAGATGGTAATAAAAGGCTTCAGGACTATGAAGTCTTGTCATGCAACTTGGCTGCGATTTTCTGCAGCTCCATGTCCATCGCTGCAAGGTTTTCCAGCTCTTTCTCCTGTAGAGAGAAAAAATGTCTTCTTTAACAATTACCACAGAACTGCTACTGAATTTTCTCAAAGCTCCAAGCAGACTGTAACATGTTGAATAATTAAAAATTGAACTCATATTTATCCTTGACCCCAGAACCAGTAAGCAGAATAAAAGATTGTTAGTTGCATTTAATTGTAGCCATATGATCAATGAAAATCAGTTTTTTTCGGTGTACACTTGCCAGAAAAAAAATGGAATAATTTGCATTATGTCAATAGATAAGGAATACAATGCTGTGGGGAATTGCTCAGCAGCAGCAGAGCTTGCGTATTCTCCCGACTGGCTCTGCTTTCACATTTGCTACATTATCAATGTAAACTCGTCCCTGCGCCTGAAGGACACCTAATGGGTTAATGGCTCACTTGGGTTACATATTCCCTTATTATCCTGCAAAATGCAGCGCTGTGGAACCAATGAATCATTTTGACGCTGCTTTGGTAATTTGTTTTTCCTGTTCTAGTCTCTGAGATGAGCCTCAGCAGGCAGAAGTCCTCCACAGTGTTTATGAACATCTTTGGGCTGATTACTTTCAGAGACTCCCATCATTGGCTCATTGGTGTGATTACTGCAGCAGTCATAAAATACAGTTGTGAAGTCGCGCAGAGCAGAAGTGCGGAAGTGAGACAATGGTGCATTTAAGTGAGGCAGAGTCTACACCCTCTTTCTGAGACCTGACCTCTGCATTTTGACATAATCTTACTGAGTTCTAGGATGTGTCCACTGAAGCTGGAGATTTCCATAATTAGCCTTTAGCTCTCAGTAAAACCTTTCTGCAATGAGATATGCTTTATGGCATTAGAGTGATGAACATATTTACAGAGATGTTTTGGTTGCATTGTATTCTCAGATTTGCTGTTAAAATTTTTCATTTTAAAATAAGTTCTGCTGCCTTATTGAATATTCAATATAGTGCAATATATATGTGTATATATATATATATATATATATATATATATATATATATATATATATATATACACACATCTTTATCCTGTATATAGCTAGCTCTTAGTTATAGAAACATAATTATTGTGCAGGAATAAGGTCTTAGCTCTGTTACACTGGTAGCCAAGTAATCGACATTTCGATGTCAAGATTCACCTTGTGTTTTTTTTTGTGCAATGACAATAAAGGAAGTCTAAGTCTAATTCAGTGATCATTTTGGGATATTTGGTTAAAGACAGCATGTTTGAACCTCATGTGGTGTGAGCACTCTCTGCTGTAAACCCTTCTTCACCTCCTCTTTGGTGGGGTGGTTAGCCAGCTGGTTTAACTTGAAGTTCAGCAGTTTGGTCAGTTCATCCATCTAAAACAATAAAAGAGAACAAGGAAACATTTTAAATACAATCATTAAAGCACTTGAAGATTTCTATCCATCCTCTAAAATGTTGGAATCCTTCATTATATCCTGCAAAGCTGCAGGCTTTAGCATATAAAGAGAGACTAAAAGAAAAGACTAAATTGATCAATTCTGAGGTTTACCTTGGTTGATGTTGCAGCAGGTTCATCTGAGTTTCTCTTGAACCAGGCAGGGTGGTAATAGCCTCTGTTAATCCAGGGATTACGCTTCTCAAGCAGGTACCTAAAAAATTAAACTAATTAGATGGTAGATATGCTGTGCTAGTGCATACAAACAACTTAATGTTAGTTTGTTTGTACCTTAGCTCTCTGATTATATGAAATCTTTACTGCATATAAGAGAGCAAATAAAAAAGCTATTTTTTTTAATACCTCAGGGCTTCATCTCTGTCTTTTTCATCTGCTGTGTTCTCTTCTGAATCCCCCCTCTGCTCCATCTCTTCCTCTGTTGATTCTTGCTTCTGAACGCTCCCCTTGCTGTGATACTGGTGAGTGGGCTTCATCTTTTCTATCTCTCTATCTTCATCTTCTCTTTTGTCAAAATCCCAATACTCCTGACTGCGCTCTTCCTCTGGTCCTTCCCTGCTGTCCTGTCTGAGCTCTTCATTACGCTTATGTTTCCTCTGGTGGTACCGGCCAGGCCTCCAGTTTCTCTTATCTATTCCAGTATCAAAGTCCCAGTATTCCTGGCTCCGCTCCTCATCAGGTTCTTCTCGGGCTTCCTCAGAAAGCTCATCACGTTTGTGTCTCCTTTGGTGAACTCTGCCAGGCCTCCAGTTCCTTTTCTCTCTTCCAGTATCAAAGTCCCAGTATTCCTGGCTACGTTCCTCTTCAGGTTCTTCTCTAGCTTCTTCTGAAAGCTCCTCATCACGTTTGTGTCTCCTTTGGTTAACTCTGCCAGGCCTCCAGTTCCTCTTCTCTCTTCTAGTATCAAAGTCCCAGTATTCCTGGCTTCGTTCTTCTTCAGGATCTTCTCTAGCTTCCTCTGACAGCTCCTCATCACGCTTGTGTTTCCTCTGGTGGACCCTGCCTGGCCTCCAGTTCCTCTTGTCAATATCCCATGATTCCTGACTACGGTCTTCATATCCTTCACCCTCTGATGGTTCATCTCTTCTTTTCTGGAGCATAATCTTGTGATGATAGTGACTTGTGGGTTTCCACATGTGCTTGTCTCTTTCCTCATCATCCTGCCTTTTCTCCACATCCCAGTACTCCTCTGGCTCTCTCCCATCTTCTTCATCGCGCTTGTGTTTTCTTTGGTGGAACCTCCCAGGTCTCCAGTTCCTCTTCTCTCGTTCTTCGCTTTCTTCATCGTCTTCTCCATCCTCGGCTCTCCTTTCCAACCCTGCCCAACTCTCCTGACTCCGGTCATAGTCATCCTCTCCTCGTTTGCCCTTTCTCTGATGGAACCTTCCTGGCCTCCAGCCACTCCTCTTCTCTCGTATTTCATCATCCTTATTCCCATCTCTCTTTTCTGACAGAGTCCAGGATTCCTGGTCCTGCTCATCTTCAGGGGTTTCCCTCTTTTCCTCCACGGATTTCAGGAGTTCCTCGATATCTTTGACATCTGGTGTTTTTGCCGTAGGTTCCCCTGCATGAGAGTTATCTTCCTGAGTTACAAACCCCTCAGAGGTCTTTTTGTTCACTGGGGCATATTTGGCCCCTATGAAGAAAAAACAAATAAGACAACTTTTAAAAGGAATACATTTGGACTAGATTGTCTTATTTTAAAGTATGTTACACTGGCCTGCAAACCTAATCTGAGGTGTTGCACCTGAGAACAGACCAACCCAACCCACAGTGAAGGGGAAAGAATAATCATCACTTTTTCAATCTGTTTCTATTCAGACTTCTTTGCAGTAGTACCCTTTATTAAAATACAAAGAAGCCAACTTTCTTTAGCCATCAAATTAATAAACAGTCTACCAATCTATATCTGTTTTTACACTCTAAGTGTAAAAACAGTTTCTATGAAGGCTTCAGCGGATTGTAACAAGACACTAGAGAAAAAAAACGGCATCATAGAGACTAAAAAACAGCTGACATGTTACACACCAGATTATTTAAATCTGGGCTTTAAAATCAAGAATTAAAATACTAATTAGATTTCAATTTTTGCAGTCTAGAACAAGCAATGCAGGTGATACAAAACAGATGTTAACCATAAACACACCATATTTACCAGGGTGTTGTTTTTGTGTCTTTGAATGTGATTAAATGTGGTTCTTATTTAGTTATTAAGGTTGGACATTTATTGCAAGGTTTTACTCACACAAAGTTATGAAAACTAAAGATCCCTGTCCTTTCACCTAATCTTTTGGGATGTTTTTCTAACATGTAAGAGAAATGCAATTTGTTTTTTTGTGTGTTTTAAATGGGGCAAAATGTAAAAGAAACACACACACAAGTGTATGAAAACTTCACCGTATACCCTGTGTTTTGCCTCACTGGTAATGAGCCATTTTAATGTAAAAAAAAAAATTATATACACTGTTATTTTGTTATATCTACTCATTTCTCGGATTCCATAAGTAATGCGGTACTTGAATTGTGGTCTATCAAAAATAAAGTTGTAAGCTCCATTCAGTTAAGCCCAATAAGGGACAAAAACACAATATTTTAAACCCGAGTTATATATCCCAACTGACCTGCTTGGAGAATATCTTTGCATTGCTGATCCAAACGAACGTCCGGCTTGGAGAGCGCTTTGGACAAGACTTCAACCAAACATCGTGCCACCTGCAGAAATCAAAGAAATGTTCTCATCCTGTTCCCAATAATGACTTATAAATGCAATTATTTAAAGTTTTACACTATTGTAGCATACCACGTCCTCTCTTTGCCTCTCCTTGCCAACGGGAAGCGCTACAGTTTCTGCGTTAAATAAAGAAAAAAGACAGAATGAGAAGCTGCAAGCGCTGCCACTGTCCATGGTGCTGAACTGCTTATAAACTATTATATTCATGCATGTTACATCACGAAACTAACTAAACAAGCCCACTTCATCCTTACCTGCAAGGAGTGCCAAAACAACAATAAGTATAGGTTTCATCTTGTGGAAGAGAAACCGGAGAAAAAGGGACCCAGTTGTACCATCAGCTCTGATTCCTCTGCAGCGGCAGGAGAGAGCTGCGCTGACTGGAAGCTGCAGCCGAGGAGAGCCTTCAAATAAAGGAGGGGAGTGGGCTGGAGGAGCGTGGGAGGAAGACTCGGGGCTCGGATAATGTCATGACTCATTAGACCTGCAAAGGAAAGTGACCTGAGTGAAAGTCGATACTGGCATTAGGTCGATATTAATTCGGGACTAAATTTTTCTAATGTGGCCAGTGTCACGATGCATCCAGGTGACAACTTACAGGGTTTTTTAGAGGATGTTGCAGTTGGAGTTTCTATGTTGAGCTCATCATGATATGCCTGGTGGGACAGGGGGTGTTGCATAAAACAAAATCACGAAGACTCTTACATAAACAGAAGCCCAAGCCCTGAACAATATGATAACTTGGCAAAGATTAACACCAGGGACTGTGCTGAAAATTCATTTTTGGGGAAAAATAAGAGATATTATTGAAAAAAATAAGAAATGTTATTTAACCTTCGCAATGACTCTATTATTACTAATGCTTGGAATAATCAACCATTCTAACAAAAATAAATATACTTTCTCAGAACTTTTTTTATTTACTCATTTATTTATTTATTGTTTTTGCACAAGACTGCTTATATAAACACCGCATGCAAGTGATCGATGATACTGCCCCCTACTGGCTAAACTACGCACAGGGTATTCCCTCAGCGCAAGTGGATTTGACGTGTTCTTCTAATTTTTCTTTTTCTATCAATGTGTTGTTTTTGATTTGTTGTTATTTTCCCCAATTTGTAATATTCAAAAACACATTATTACTCAATATCTACCGGACAAGAAAAGACAAAGAAACTTAATTATGTTTTTTGACAATCCTACAACCATAAAGAATGACCTGTATGTAAACTTTTGGTTATCAAACGATTGCAGAAATTATTTATCTACAAAAATAAAATAAAATAAAATAAAATAAAAAATATCAGGCTGGATTGCACAAGCCCCTGATAGAGACACTCTTTGAATAGGTTACCAGCAGGGTTTACTGCAATCTGCTGCCCCATACAGCCAGACAACTCTAACAAAAACAAACAATCAAAAACCTTCTAAGTATGTAAATCTATAGTTAAAATGCAATGGTGATTGTGACATCATGGTTGTTACAGATTTAAACATGTGAAGTCTTTTATTTACATATCACTGCAATTTACTTGATACATCTTATTTTCTCAGATATGTAATAAACCTGCTCAAGTTGTCATAGATACGTTATTTTATGTCAATATCAGTGTTTTTGGAGGACAAGAAAGAAATCCTACATCAGAATTGAAATGAAATGCAACTGAAATAAAACTGCTACATCAGCGTACAGTAAGACCAAATAACAAAACGTAAATGGACTTTTGAAATGAAATTAGGAAACACAGGTGGATAAAAACTAAACACTTCAATGGAGCCTAAGTGCAACCTGAAGCCAAGATACAGAATTAAGCTAACTTTGGGAGACTTACCTTTATTTAACAGGATTTTTAACTGAAAATCAAAATGTAAAGTAAATTAATTTGTAAATTATTTAATAACTAATCTATTATTAGACAACTTTATGATAATACTTCCCATAACAAACATCTGTATGCCATAATAAATGCATACATAATTAATCAAATAAATGTATGATAAAGACTTTGCCAAAAATCATGTCTTTTGAAGTTATATTCACTTAATCGCAAACTTCAAATAATGATAGGAAACTTTAGTAAATTTACATAGTGGATTTAGGCCCATGCTCTTAGTTAAACTGAGCACCCATACAAGTGATGAAACATAAAAAACAATTAACTGCTATTTAATAAGAAATATGATAGGAATGAAGGGCTGATTTAGACCCAATATATTTGCAAAGATTTTAATTGTGTTTGAGACTTTGAGGCCATATCAATAACATTTCTCTTTAACTTTATTTTCAATTAGATTGAACAGCTCAGACTGGAGCGATTTGAAATGAGTGGTGCCAGAGCTCAAACACACTAAACTCAGCCATGGTTTACAACATCTAATATGACAGCTCATGGGATCATCTCTTTGGCACTTCATGTCTGGACTTTGCGCTCCTTCCCGCAGCCCCCTGTTACAGTAGTTCTCATTGCAGGCACCTTCAGTCACAGAGAATTAAAAACCATGTTCAACCAAGCAGAAATCCAAAAGTTAAGATGATTTAGTGTGATGATGAAAAAACGTGATGATGAAAAATGTGATGATGAGATTTTTACGCAGCATCCATTGACCTTTTTGTTTGCCAGAGCACGTACAAATTCAATTATGTCTTAAAAACCAAGATACCAGAAACTGCATAGGCTGCAAGCAAAATGGGAGCTCTGTGTTCCATAAATCTGCCTGGGTGCACTGCTCAAGGGTACATGACTGGTTACAGATATTCGTTACAGCAGACAGCCTTCACTGGAGTAAAATAAAAACTGGTCTGAGCATAAAACTGTAAAGTCAGATGTTCTGTTGTGCATTCAAGCAGTTCATGTTCATCTAAAGCTGTCGATCGCCTCAGTCTTTAGTGTAATTCATAGGAGGACTGCAGATATATTCAGTGGAAAAGGTCTTGTCCGAGTGGTCCACATGATGGATCTACTTAGTATAAAAACCACTGAGCCACTAAATCAGAACACTACTCACACACAACAAAATCAGTGTGTTTCTGTGAATGTGTGCATTATTGTATGCTTTTCTTTCTCTGGCTCTCAGTCTGTGCTCTTCTTCCAAGCCTTATGAATAATTTAGTGAGCCTTAAAGAAATATAGGAGTATAAAGGTGTTGCAGAGGAGATTTGAAATGTAGAGCCCAATGTTTTTGCATTGTCTGAATTAAGATTAGTTTCTGTTTGGAACAACAACGCCACCCCTTTAATCCTGGATCATTCTGCAAACATGAACCAAAGACAAGCAGCTGACAATGAAAGCAATGCTATTGGTGCATGAAAGCTTTGGGTGAGCTTTGATCTTTGGTCATGACAAGCTTTGTGTTTGGCTTTTAACAACCGGCAAACTTTGATGACATTTCAAAAAGAACAGACGAGCATAGACACGGTCCTCTTTGGTCGGAGGCAACTCATTTCTGGCTATTTGATCTCATTTTAAGTATATATTTGCTGCAGTGATTGCAAGTTTTTACCATGGAGCCTTTTGGTATTGTTTACTTGAATCAATTCGATAAAAAATATGAAACACTCCACAGATTCAACCAAACATTTGGTGTTTAATGTAACAGTGGAGACCAGATGCTGAAGTGATTGGAAGCAGATCTAATTTCTCTGTTCATGTTCAGATGAAGATTTTAGCGAAAAAAAAGTTCAGAAAATCCTTTATGTGGAAATACAGGTTGTCTTAAAGAACACTTCAGTTTGTTATTTGTTAAGTTTTTATTTATTTAGATAATATTCTTTTTTAAAGTAGCTGTAAACTAGTTTTTGTAAAGTTTGTAAAGTAATTGAACGCAAGTATCCCTTCGATTTTAGAAATCAAAAAGTTAAAATGTATATGTGGCTCTAAAAACACAACTGAAAGAAAATCATCAACAAATCGTTTTCATCTGTTACTAACTTTATTTCCTTAATGAATAGAGCAAAACCTAATAGAGTTGTAGCTCATCAAAACATGAATTAAATCATTACTATGTTGTTTTAGTAAACCCTACAAGAATAGAATTTTCTATTGAAATTTAGGAAAAAGTTAATTTCAAACTTAAAGGTCTCATTGAATACTACCCTAAATTCAAATAGTCCCCCTAAGGGCCGATCGCGGGTCAGTGTGACTCTTGAGCTTTACTCCTATTGATAGCAGTTAAACATTTGAACCTGAAGGAGATTTTAAGAGAACATAATCTAATTTCTGTTGCTCTGCTGTCTAAGCGCTGACTTCAAACTACTTAATGTTATCACTCCTGTGAGGAACATTTAACATCAGTGTCAATTAAACAGAAGAGCAGAAGGTCACAGAAGTGAAGAGACTTTAGGGCACTATTAGTCATCTTTAATAATCCAGTAGACTTGATCTCACAGGCTTTAATGGATTTGTTTTTATCATCTACCCCGAGAGATTATATTCATACTGTGTTATTTTCAAAAGCCTAATTGGGCATCTGATCTTTGTTTTTGTTTCAACTCTATTTCAGCTCAGAAAAACAGTCCTACACTTCCTTGCCATTCTGTAAACCAATTATATATTCTTGGATTGTTAAACTGTATTTTCCAAGCAACTTCTTAAACCTGGTGCTGGCAGTAGTTTTTTTTTCAGCATGTCCATGGAAGCAGTTCAGAGTAATTGGGAGGCAGCTGAGGTAGATGAGGGATAATTCTGCAATAAAACCTTTTAAAGGCTACGAAAACACCTGAGAATACTAAACAAACCTAGAGCTTCGGTTTACATGTTTAGACTAAAGCTAAAGTTATATGTTAAGAGGGAACAGCAACAACTCAGTCTCTTTATAGAAACATATACTTAAATGATTTACAGTATTAATTGTAGTAGTTGTTGCTACCTTATATTGACTCAATTTGATCAGATTCTTCTATTTTACAGCGATGCACTACTTTTGCACTACTTTTTGTTATTCAATTTCAAGTGAATGTATTAATTTCATATTAATGAGTTGAGGGAAATGTTTCATACATTTGTAAGGTATTGAAATAAGGTTTAAACAAGGTTTGTGTTGCTCGCAGCTATGTTCAGTTGACAAGTAAACAAAGATCCCCCCATAGCCTTTGGCACCTGAAGGCCTCATACCCCCAAAAGCTCATTCGTTCACCTCTCTTTTGACCTTATGTTTTCTGCGTTCCCTTTTTTGCCGATTGCTTGTCTTATAACATGCAATCATTTTGGTTCCAACTTTGTAGCTCTATAGCCCCACAGGGCAAAGCAAAAAGCACAAGCTGTCTGCCCTCACCATCCTGAGAAGATAATGGGGTACTGCAGATTTTAAACAGATTCTCTATTGCTGTGTTGGATGTTTTGAAGGAGCTGAAAACATATTATAGCCATGTTAATATGGTTAGTTTATCAGAGGGAGACTTTAAGGACATCTGCGCTTATGTTTCCCGTTCCAGGTTCCAGATGTACACTTCCCCCAAA